TTGATAACGACAAACTGGTTTAAAAAGACTCGTGAGCAAAAACTATGACATATTTATTAGGAAACGTTTCGGTCCTGAGACACTGATCAAGGTCCCAGAACTGAAACTTTTACTAATAAATATGTCCTAGTATTTGGTCACGTGTTTTCCTAAAAATAAATCAAGTTAACCGTCAACAATATGCAAAAGGCAATTTTTTTCGAAAATCCTGCCTTATTTTATTGTTTCGTTTCCACTATTTCTCGCTATTTTTATTATTACAGTCATGGGGAGTGCTGAATTAACTTTCTGATTTCTGCATGTGAAGCACTAAAGCACTAAACCCATATGGGTCATTCAGCGCAGGGAGTGGTAACCAGGCTAAGGGGAGAATGTGGGAAGTGTGGAGCCCATAATGCACCTGGAGAAAGGGTGGTGGTAAGCATATTTGATTCGAGGGAGGGAAGAGAGGGAGGGAGGACACCTCTTACGTTTGATAGGAAGCCTTTCCGCCGCACTAAGGCGTGCCTTCTCAAAACGTCTTTGGTTCTGACGAGTGGCGAAGGTTCGCCAGACGCACTGCATGTCTTCTGGAACATCACTGCTCTTGTGGTGCCTGTCTTAGTTCCCTGCATCCATGCACTTCTGCCCGTGAATGCACTCTTAGCGTTAAGGAGTATTAAATACTGCGAGCAGGCCATGAGTTCATAGCGATATTTGTAGAAGCGTCTGTGGTTGTCGGAGTTCGAACATTTGCGTCTAAGACTCCGAACCCTTGGTTCAGAAAGTTTGCACTCTTAGTCCGAGGAATTTGTAAGTTTTCATCCTCCGAGGAGTTCGAAACATTGACCCAAGGGGTTCGAATCTTTGTTCCCAGTTCCCAAGTATTCTTATTAGTGTTCTGAAAACTAATGACACAAGATCTAACTCCACTTAAGGCTTCGGTTCCACAAATAATTCACTAATATTTAAAGTTGTTTACGTGTTAGAGTAGTGAGTATTTTGATGCCTTTCTTTGCATAATTAAGAACCTTACAATCAAATCACAATTTTAATTTCGAAAACTGTGTAAGAGATATTGTTTCTCATATTCACCCTGTATAAAATCTAATAAATAAAACATTTAATTGATCTTTTAACAGTAAACACAAAAAATAACTGAGCATTCTCTCAACTCATTATAAATATACCTTCACAGTATTTCAGGTATTCCTCTGAAACATCTTCCTAAGATCACACTGTAAACTTGTCGATTGTAAACCATTCAGTTAATAATAATTTGACACTTGTAATAAAGTTGGTAGAATTACCGACAATATGTAAAGTAAAAGGACACAAGTGCAACTAATGTGACATTTATTGTGGCAACGTTTCGCTCTCCAGGAGCTTTATCAAGCCATTACGTAATGGCTTGATAAAGCTCCTGGAGAGCGAAACGTTGCCACAATAAATGTCACATTAGTTGCACTTGTGTCCTTTTACTTTACAATTTGACACTTATTTAACATTAACCTTCAGCAGAGTTGAATCTTCCCACGCGTCATTATGCTTCAAAATATTCACTTTCTTCCGAACATTCCTTTCTTTTTTTTAAAATCAGAAAAAATCTTAGAATCGAAAGTAATGGCCTCCTCGTATTAATATTCCTCAGATGTTATATTTCTCCTACTTTTAACAGTTGATTTCGTATGTACTAACAAAAGTAGTGTATAAAATAGTCCCTTCAAACTAAAAATTTTCAACCCATGTATTTGCCTTCAAAATATCAGCTTTTCACATTGGATCTTTCCTTATTAAATGTTCCAGATGAACTGTGTGACCCCTCGGATAAAAATTTCCTTAAAATTCCCCTCAGATAAACTGTTCTTACGTGTTACATATGACCTCTTCCCCTCTTCCCCCAAATAAAAACAAAAATTCTTCTGCCAAGTCATTTGGTTAACCTTTGACCTGTGATCTCAGACGAGGGGTGACTTTCGCCTCCCCTCTACAAACCCCTCGTGACGTCAGCAAGAGCGTGTCCTTCCGGATGGAGGGGGGAGGAGTGGGGACATGTCCCCCCACGGTGGAGGCCATCCCTCTCATCCACATGAACACTCCACCCACTCAGCTATCTGGCCACCCACCTATGCCGTGTGTCACACAACCACCTCCACAGCCTGTCACACCCGCGCCCATGACCAACCCCTACCAGGTGGGTGTGTACTCACCTATATGTGGTTGCAGGGGTCAATTTACAGCTCCTGGTGTGTATGCGGGTGTGTGGTGTGTGTGTGTGTGTTTACGCAGAGTTACTAATACACTACGATTTTTTCCAAGATACTTAAATATAATAAATGGTTTGACGTACAGATATGAGATAGTTAGATAGACAAGAGTGCATGTAAACTCAGCCAGATAACTTGCGCTTCTTTCTTCTACAGGAACCACTGCTGGAGCGTGAGGGGGCAGCGTACGGAGGTTACGGCGGGGTGTACGTCCACGACTACGGTGGTGCCATGATGCAGAAGGAGCAGAATATCTTGCAGCAGCGGCGGGCCAGCAGGACCAGCCTGCAGGGAATGAGGAGCTACAGCCGAGGGGAGGTGGACATGGGACCCCCGCTAGAGGACGCGCCTCCGCCCCCGACGATGATGGAGTACGGGGGAGCGCCCCTGGGGGAGGCGCCGACGACGGTAGGGAGCGGTATGCCCCCGGCGTCGCACGTCGATGTGTGCCCGTACAGAAGGACAAGCCTCCGTCAGAGCAACAGCACCAAGTACAGTCAAGTGCCTCGCAACCTGTACACTCCGCTCAACAACGAGGAGAGCGGAGGGGAGAAGCTGCCCTTGTTAGTGGGCAAGAAGAACAGTGATCTCAAGATTATAAACAATAAAGCCAACTACCAGACGCTCAGCGAGAAGAACAGCAATGCCCTCGCCAACCTCGCCGCCGGCTACAACATATCAGGCGACGGACCAGTCGGGTACAGAGCCACGCAGCAGCCACAGCATCCGCAGACGCAGGCACAGAGGTATCCGCAGGAGCAGCAGCAGACCACCCGCATCGCCGCCCTCAGGCGCGGTAGCGAGCCTCCAAGACCCCCTGGGAGAGGTTCCATGCACATCCGCAACAGGTCTTGTGACGACCTAGCGTGCTCCTGCTGCGAGGTGCCCCTCCCGCACGACCTGCTCGCCGATCACGCCGGCCACAGCGCGTCCGACGCAGCGACCGACAGCGACGTAGACCCGCGAGACATAAGCGCCGGTGGACGAACTCGTTGGGAACTGGGAGACGATCGGGACGGAACACGAACCATCTCTCGAGCTCACCTGAGAAGGGACAGCTTCGGGGAGGTGGTGTCTAGACGATCTCCTAGCCAAGACAGCCTGGAGCAGGTGCGCACGCGATCTCCCACCATCATGCTGGACGACCCTACTCCGTTAGCTACGCCCACGCCCCCACCTCACACGACCCACGACATGCTAGGGCGGCACTCACCAAGTCAAGACAGCTTCGGGTACGGCGTCTGTCGGAGGTCTGAGAGCCAAGATAGCCTGGATCATCAGGTGAGATACAATTGACGCTCACTGGCATATAAACACACAGGTGAATACGGTAACGTGTTTGTACACATACTTTACAGTCAAGATAGTCCTACAGAAACACATACACACACACGAACACGAAACCGCTTGAAACTTTTAACATATCCTTACAGTATTAAACATTTACGACACGACACTACTAGCTTAGGTCTCCTCTGCAACTTCAAATAAGCACAGCTATTACAATCATACTTAAAAAAACGAAGCACTAAACCCATATAGGTTATACATCGCTGTGCGGTAGAGCAAAACCGTGAACATGAAAAAGCAAGCTACGAGGGACAAAGATGGGACAATATGCTGGACACAGAAGCTAAAACTCGACTTTTTCAAACACAGCTACGTACACGTGTACCTTTTGTGGAGATCTTACTATGCTCTGCTGTTATATATCATGAAGCGCGTCATAAATCTTACCACAAAGATCTTTTTTACAGAGAGATTTATAGAATAGGGGACTGATGTTAAGCAGGTGCTATAGTGTGTGTGTGTGTGTGTGTGTGTGTGTGTGTGTGTGTGTGTGTGTGTGTGTGTGTGTGTGTGTTTACATCAGAAAATGCTGAGAAATTATACGTGAAAGTAAACAATAGGGTTCAGTGTGATCCAGGTGGTGAACATAAGCAAATCAATAGTGACCCAAAACTGTAGTGAGCGCTGTCCAGTGAGCAGAAGTGAGTGCTTTCCAGCGAGCACAAGAGAAGACTTTCCAGCGAGCAGTAGGGAAGATTTCCCAGCGAGCAGACATGAAGGACTCCTTAACCCCATCCACCTCAACAACCACCATAAAATATCCCCCCAAATATATATTTAATCAGCAGAAAAGAAAAGTGTTCACATTAAAATACAATACGCAAATAACCCGCACATAGGAGAGGGGAGCTTACGACAACGTTTCGGTCCGACTTGGACCATGATAAATGTAGATAAGATATAGGGAACATTTAGGCAACTTTATTCCGAAACGTTTCGCCTACACAGTAGGCTTCTTAAGTCGAGTACAGAAAGTAGGCGGGAGCAGCAGAGATGTGAAGACGATGTAATCAGTCCATCACCCTGGAAGTCGTAGATTTGAGGTTGTCAGTCCCTCACCCTGGAGAAGTTCTGTTCCTAAGTCTGGAACTAACTGAAGATCAAACGACAGTGTTGAGACTTAAACACTGTCGGAAGGAGAGGTGCAGAGTAGTAGTGAGAATGAAGCCACTTGGAGATGGCTACTCTGCACCTCTCCTTCCGACAGTACTTAAGTTTCAACACTGTCGCTTGATCTTCAGTTAGTTCCACACTTAGGAACAGAACTTCTCCAGGCTGAGGGACTGACAACTTCAAATCTACGATTTCCAGGGTGATGGACTGATTACATCGTCTTCACATCTCTACTGCTCCCGCCTACTTTCTGTACTCGACTGAAGAAGCCTACTGTGTAGGCGAAACGTTTCGGAATAAAGTTGCCTATATGTCTTATCTACCAACCTGTCGGTATTGTATACCATTTGATAATCACCATGGTAAATGGTCAGAGTTGGACCGAAACGTCGTCGTAAGCTTCCCTCTCCTATGTGCCAGTTATTTATGCATTCTCCCAGGCGCAGTGGGTCACTTACGATTGTCGCGTTCCACCCATGAATATAAAAATAATAACAAAATCACTAAACAATAATAATAATACTAAGCGAGTAGGAATTTAATTAAGATCTTATTCACATCAATGCATCAGTTAGCATATTGGTTACGCCATACTGAATGATCAGTTCTCTAATAGCAGTAATAACCTCAAATAAAGATGTTAAAACAATTATATATATATTATATATATATATATATATATATATATATATATATATATATATATATATATATATATATATATATATATATAATATGCACCTAAACAATTCAAGTTTGGTAATAACGGGAATCTAAAAACACGTCGGCTTTCGTCAAAAAAAGTAATTACAACCTTCCTCCCTTGTTGCAATTGCAAATTATACCCACCTTCATCCTAATGACTTCCATTCCAGGTAATTGCTTGACAGGTGAGGCTGATAGCAGAGAACATAATTTGAAATTGATGTATCCTCCCCCCCCTTCCCCGCCGCCCATCGTCCCCAGCACCGTCAAAGAGTATCGCTACCTTTCAGATATAGCGAAAAAAAGGAGGGGGGAATATACACTAAAATAAATTGAATGTATAAATACAATACCCATGAACCAATTTGCTCTTTCAGTAACGAGAACTGTTCAAAGTGTTATATAAAGTTTTTTTTTTTATTAGATATATAGATGGCAGTATTGTTGTTAGTATGTCAGTGCTTTGTTTAACAGATATTGTCTTCTGTCTCTCGGGATTGTTGTAGATGTGATCCCATTGATGCAGTTGACGTTGGGCAGGTGAATTGAATGTTGATGATTGTATTCTCATACATTGTTGGTACAGGCGATTGTTGGTTATTGTAACTGTGGGGGGAGTGAATGCTGGTGATTGTGTTCTAGTGTATTGTTAGTACAGGCGATTGTTGGTTATTGTAACTGTGGAAGTGAATGTTGGTGATTGTATTTTAGTGCATTGTTCGTACAGGAGATTGCTGGTTATTGTAACCGTGGAAGTGAATATTTTTTATTGTATTTTAGTGCATTGTTCGTACAGGAGATTGCTGGTTATTGTAACCGTGGAAGTGAATATTTTTTATTGTATTCTAGTGCATTGTTCGTACAAGAGATTGTTAGTTATTGTATCTATGGAGGTGAGCGTTGGGGATAATATTCTAGTACATTATTCGTGAATGTTGGTGATTGTATTCTAGTATATTATTGGTGCAGGCAGTTCTTGATGATTGTACTTGGGTACATTGTTGGTAGATGTAATTAACTGTGATTATATCCAGGTATCATTGTTAGTTGGGATGCTTGTTAGTGACTGCAGAGCAGTATAATGATGGTGGTGATTGTTGGTGACTGCTCTCCAGCACATTTATGAGGTGATTGTTGGCTACTGATGCAGACTGATGCAGTGGTCGGAGAAGTGGCAGATGCAGTTTAATATAGACAAATGCAAAGTTCTAAATGTTGGACAGGACAATAACCATGCCACATATAAACTAAATAATGTAGATCTTAATATTACGGATTGCGAAAAAGATTTAGGAGTTCTGGTTAGCAGTAATCTGAAACCAAGACAACAGTGCATAAGTGTTCGCAATAAAGCTAATAGAATCCTTGGCTTCATATCAAGAAGCATAAATAATAGGAGTCCTCAGGTTAAGATAAGATAAGATAAGATAAGATAAGATTTCGTTCGGATTTTTAACCCCGGAGGGTCACCGTATTACAGAATGGATATAAATTCTCTGGAAAATGTACAAAGGAGGATGACAAAGTTGATCCCATGTATCAGAAACCTTCCCTATGAAGATTGAGACACTTATGCAGCATATGGGAATCTTTATTCAGGAAACGTCTCGCCACACAGTGGCTTCATCAGTCCAATACAAAGAGGAAGGTGTAAGGAGAGGAGGAGAATGAGGTAATCAGTCCCTCAACCTGGAGTTGATGGACTGAACACATCGATTCCAGGTTGAGGGACTGATTACCTCATTCTCCTCCTCTCCTTACACCTTCCTCTTTGTATTGGACTGATGAAGCCACTGTGTGGCGAAACGTTTCCTGAATAAAGATTCCCATATGCTGCATAAGTGTCTCAATCTTCAACTTGTCGGTTTTTCAAACCATTCATCACAACCTTCCCTATGAGGATAGACTAAGGGCCCTGAATCTGCACTCTCTAGAAAGACGTAGAATTAGGGGTGATATGATTGAGGTGTATAAATGGAAGACAGGAATAAATAAAGGGGATGTAAATAGTGTGCTGAAAATATCTAGCCTAGACAGGACTCGCAGCAATGATTTTAAGTTGGAAAAATTCAGATTCAGGAAGGATATAGGAAAGTACTGGTTTGGTAATAGAGTTGTGGATGAGTGGAACAAACTCCCGAGTACAGTTATAGAGGCCAGAACGTTGTGTAGCTTTAAAAATAGGTTGGATAAATACATGAATGGATGTGGGTGGGTGTGAGTTGGACCTGATAGCTTGAGCTACCAGGTCGGTTGCCGTGTTCCTCCCTTAAGTCAATGTGACCTGACCTGACTAGGTTGGGTGCATTGGCTTAAGCCGGTAGGAGACTTGGACCTGCCTCGCATGGGCCAGTAGGCCTTCTGCAGTGTTCCTTCGTTCTTATGTTCTTATGTTCTTATGTACTGAATACTAGTACAACACTGGTGAGGGAATTTTTGGTGACTGTATCCCAATTCAGTCTTGATAATAATAATAATAATAATAATAATAATAATAATAATAATAATAATAATAATAATAATAATAATAATAATAATAATAAGGGTCAGCAGGTGTCTTAAGGAAAGACTCCCCCAATGTTTCCACCTGTATAGGGGATTGAACTGCGGACCTCAGTGTATGAACTGAGTGCGCTACCAACCAAGTTACGGGACACCTTAATTATGGAGGGGATTGTATCCCAGTACAATACTGGTAGTGGTGATTATATCTCCGTACAATGCTATTGAAGATGAATATTAGTGACTGTATCCAAGTGCAATGTTGGAGAGGCGACCGCTGGTGATTGTATTCATTGTAGCTGTATAGTCCTTGTGGCTTAGCGCTTCTTTTTGATTATAATAATAATAATAATGTATTCATTGTAAGTGACGGTAAATGTTGCTGACTGTATCTCAGTACAATCTTATGGATAAAATAATTACTTTTCCAATCGTTACATTTTGTGTAACTCGTAGTTTTGAATGTCTGCAAATGTTGCCTCTACTATAACAGTCACCAACACAACTGTCTTCACTGGTCTTAATTCTCACCAACAAGACTATCTACCTACTAAAAAAGTCTACCATTATCTCCAGTATAGTGTCTTCACCGGACTTTTACTATCTTCAAATTATCTTCTTTAATCTCTTCAGGACTTTTAGAAACTGGTCTCTCCCTTAACCTTGTACATTATCTTTTTTCCAAGTAGTTAAGTTTAACATTCACTAAGACGTACTCATGATGTCTCCAGCACCTGGTTACGGAGTCAATAAATTGGTCTGGGGCAACTGGAACAAAACTAGTCGTGGTCTTACTGAAATATGTTGGAAAGACGACAGTATGCTCCAGACACACACCTTTACGACAGAGGAGAAGATGCAAACGAAAGAGAGAGAGAGAAAGAAAGGGAGAGAGTGGGTGCTCCCTATATTGGGGATGATGACGGATAACAGAGCTTTTCAAAGGCTGCAGACTTTCTGAAGAGAGAAAGGACACAAAAGTAAGATAAATGGAGAACATCGAACTCAAATGCGTCTTACAGACTCCGGGAAAGACAGAGGGAACATAGAGCCATACATGATATTGGAAGGAAGCTAAAATACATCTTCCCATACGCAAATTCCTTTTCAAAAATCACATCTAGTATCAGGCCCTTAATCATAGGAGATAGAATATACTCTGATACCTAAGAAATGAGTGAAATACTGAAGTCAGAATATGACTTGGTATTCTGTGAGCCGTTAAACAGTTTAAAGATTGACGACCGAATGAGTTTTTCGCGAGACTGGAAGCGCTCCTAACACGTCTACAATTTTCAGCATCACTCCAAATTCAAACGACTTGGAAGAATATTGAAAATGGTATAAAATACTGACAAGCTGATGATTAAAATACATGTGCAACAGTTAGATATCTTTATTCTTGAAAAGTTTCGCATACACGGTAGGCTTCATCTGTCAAATACAGAGAATGTATTGTAGGAACTATTCCTGCTGCTTACAACACAATAAAGATACCTAACTACTGCACAGGTGTCTTGATCATCAACTTCTAAGAAACCAGTGATAGCATGTCCATGCAGTCTGCTTCTGGCCCAGACTCATGGAACTCTACATTCATGAAGAATTGCAAGAAACCATTGTCCCGTGCCTGAAGAAGGAGCCTGGACACGGGAATCATCCCAGTCATTAAAAATCACCCACTCCACAAAAAGGACATTAAAACAATTTGTGAAAAACAATAAACCGATAGCACATATTAAAATCTTTGAAAGGCTTTTCAACAAGTAATATTACCACTCACACGGAATGAGAACAGTTGCACAACCCAGGTTAACACTGGTTTAAAACGGGTCATTCCTGCCTTCTGCAATTGCTGGACTGTTGCAACATGTTCCTTGATGCACCGAGAAAAAAGTACAATTCAAAAGTAGTGTACACTGACTTTTACAAGTGTGATAATAATAATAATAATAATAATAATAATAATAATAATAATAATAATAATAATAATAATAATATTAAGTTTTCAAGTACATGATACAACTAATACAGACCTAGCTGACATCAGTGATATTGTGTGCAGAAAACCCCTTGTTACACAAAACATTTCGGGCAAATTAGGTTAATTCTGTCCCCAGGATCCGACCCACACCAGTCGACTAACAACCAGGTACCTATTTACTTCTAAGTGAACAGGAACCACGGACCTCAATGTATAAACTACCACCCGAGCTACGGGACAGCCTCATAGTGTACTAATGGACAAATTGCGTGCTAAAAGAAAAACTGGAAAAAGTAAGCAAATGGATAGCTAACTTCCTAACAAACATAACCCAAAGAGTAAAATTAGAGTGAATTCGAGGGTTGCTGCAGCGAAAAGCATTGTTCTTTAAGACACAGTTCTCGTCCCATTTCTCAGTCTTATTCTTATGTCTGACATATACAGGGACATAAATCATAGCTGTGTATTATTCCTTGCAGACGATGCTAGAATTTGTATGAGAGTGGCATCTACTGAGGACAGAGCGAGCCATCAAGCTTATGTTAACCAAGTCTTCTAGTGGGCCACGGACAACACTATGATCAACGAATATGAGTGTCGGTTACTCCGCTCGGGGAAAAAAAAACGAGAAATTAAATAGTGAAACAGAATCCTAGACACAGCAACACCATGGAAGCTTGGTACAAAGGATGCCTTCTATAACTCTATTTCCACTAGTGGGGTCCCGTCCACTTGTGACTCAGCCTCCAACTGCTACATCTCTTTTGTAGCCCCAGGATATGAGATCCCACCCCCATAACTCTGCTTTAAAGAGATCAAGGCTAAGGGACTGAACACCTTCTATCAAGGCTAAGGAACCGAACACTTTAACTTTATCTCTCCACTTCTTCTACTCTCTCCAATATGAAAGAAGCCTCTGTATTCGATTAATAAAGCCTGCTACGCAGGTAACACGCATCAGCAACCAACAGAGTAAGGTTTTATAAGAACATAAGAACATAAGAACGAAGGAACACTGCAGAAGGCCTACTGGCCCATGCGAGGCAGGTCCAAGTCCCTACCGGCTTAAGCCAATGCACCCAACCTAGTCAGGTCAGGTCACATTGACTCAAGGGAGGAACACGGCAACCGACCCGTTAGCACAAGCTATCAGGTCTAACTCACACCCACCCACATCTACTCATGTATTTATCCAACCTATTTTTAAAGCTACACAACGTTCTGGCCTCTATAACGGTACTTGGGAGTTTGTTCCACTCATCCACAACTCTATTACCAAACCAGTACTTTCCTATACCCTCCTGAATCTGAATTTTTCCAACTTAAAACCATTGCTGCGAGTCCGGGCTAGGCTAGATATTATCAGCACACTATTTACATCCCCTTTATTTATTCCTGTCTTCCACTTATAAACTCAAACATATCCCCCTAATTTTTACGTCTTTCTAGAGAGTGCAGTTTCAGGGCCCTTAGTCTATCCTCATAGGGAAGGTTTCTGATACATAGGATCATCTTTGTCATCCTCCTTTGTACATTTTCCAGAGAATTTATATCCATTCTGTAATACGGGACCCAAAAAATGTGCACCATAATCTAAAGGGGGGGCCCTAACAAGGAAATGTAAAAGATTTTGGAAAACAACCTGAGGACTCCAAATTTTTTTTGCTTCTTGAAAAGAACCCCAAGGGATTCTTTTTGCTTTTTTTGCAAACACTTATGCACTGTTTTTTGGGTTTTTCAATTCGCAAACCCAAGAACCCCAAAAATCTTTTTCGAAATTCCCCCGTAATATTAAGAAAACATTATTTATTTTAAAAATTGGGGCTGGTTTTGCCCTTCCAAAAAATTTAGAATTTTGGGCATTTGTCTATATTAAACTGCATCCCCACTTTTTTCCGACCACTGCATCAGTCTTTTTCAAATTTTTCCCTGGGGGGCTCAAAAGCCCCTCGCCCAGAATAAAATTCGACGGGCCTATTTTGGTGTCATCGGAAAAAACTTGGGGATGTCGCTTTTTATCCCCTATCTATGCGTTTTGTAGATTGTGAACGGGCGGGGGGCCCCAACATGCCCCCGGGGAAAAACACCGCCGTGACGTTTCCCCCCCACTCTGTTTTCTCCCCTTTTAAATGAAAACTTCTGCTGTATTTGTCAACCATGCCTCTATCCGGGAAAAAAATTTTCTTCCTTTTCCCATGTGTTTTTAATTTTTCCCTCAATGGTCTCTGGTGGGACCCGTCAAAAGCCAATTACTAAAGCCCATAACACAAAAACAAAATTCGTTACCATGATCTACCTCCTAAAAATACCTTAGTAAAAAAATTTAAATAAATTCGTAAGGCGGAACGCCCCTTTGAAAAAACCAAATGTGAAATTCGTTTGATTAATTTATGTTTTTTCCAAGGTGGCAAACGAATCCCTCGGAAAATTTATTGTTTCCTAAATTTTCCCTACTATGGGGGGTTGGGCTTTTTGGGTCTATAGTTCGAAGTAAGGACCTTTTCCCCTGTTTTGAAAATAGGTATCACTTTTTGGCCTTTTTCCCCACTTTTTGGCCCATGCCATTTGTAGTGATTTTTTAAAAGTTAGCCCAAAAGGTGTGTTTGCCCCTCTTTACATTCCTTTAGAACCCTTGCAACAGTTCATGGGGGCCCTTGGGGTTTTTTGTTGGGTTTTTTTAATTTATCTATTTGCCAAAGGACCTTTGTCATTTGTGCCCCCAAAAGTCCCACTTTTTTTATCGCCCTGTTCAACAAAAATTTTTTTTAAGGGTATTAATATCAAAATAAAATTTTTTTCGGGCCTTCAACATTTATCCCTTTTGATATTATCCTTGTTAATTTTCCAAAAAAAGACTATAAATACATTTTGGAGTTTATTTTTTTTTGGGATAATGAATTTTTCTCTCCATCGCTTTTTTTATATACTTCAAGAGATGCAGTCCTCAAGTATTTTACACTTAGAGTTTATTTACCCCTTTTTAAGGTTTAAAAAAGAAATTTTGCCCTCGGGGTAAAACAGGAGATATACAATCTCAATGTCCCTATGCAAACGATAGACTTTAAATTTTAACAAAACCCGCTAATATTTTTATAGGTAAACGTCGAGGGGAGCGAGTGGGCCCGTCAAGGGGTCCCTGGGTACAAAGAGCAGTCCAGGCTCCCCTCCCGGCACATTTTACAGGTTACTTCTGGGCCCGGAAAAGATGCGGCCGTCTCCAGGTGCTCCAGCAAGGAGACGGTGAGTTTCCACACATGGTTAGAAAGACCCAAAGGGTCACTACCACAACCCCCTGGTTATAATGAACCCCAGGGTTCACTACCACCACCCACATGGGTTTAAAATGACCAATGCCCCCACTACCATAAACCCCCACCACTCACCCCCGGTTATAATGACCCAAAGTTTTACATCCCAACCCCCCCCGCTATAATGTCCAATGAATTTTTTAAACCCCCACCCCCCGGTTTTTAATAAAACCCAAAGCTTATTCCAACCCCACCTGGTTATAATGACCAAATTAACTACCCCCCCCACCCCCCTGGGTTTTAATGACCCAAAGCTTTCCCACCCCCCACCCCCCTGGGGTTTTAATGCCAATTTTGCTTCCCCACCCCCATGGGGTTTTAATGACCAAAGTTCACCACCACCACCCCCCCGGTAATAAAAAGGGCCCAAAACCACCCCCCCCCCCACCTGGGTTTTAAAAGGCCCAACGCTAAATACCAAACCCCCCCACCTGGTTATAATGACCCAAAGGTTATTACCATCACCCCCCCCTGGCTATAAAGACCAACGTTAACTAACACCCCCACCTTTGGGTTTAATGACCCCAAAGCTCACCCCCCACCCCCCCTGGTTATAAAACCAAAACCCCCACCACCACCACCCACAATTTTTATAATCCCCAAAGTTCAAAACCCAAACCCACCTGGTTTTTAAAAAGACTAACGTTCACTACCACCCCCCAGCTGATTATAATGACCAACCCCCACCACCACCACCCCCCACCTGAAAATTTTAAAAATTTAAAGCCATTACCACCCCCCCACCTGGTTTTTTAAAGCCAAAAGCTCCTTTCCCCTACCACCCAAAATTTTTTTAATGGGTCAACGTTCCCCCATCACCCCCACCTGGCATAATGACCAACGCTCAGAAAACCCCCACCCACCTGGTTTTTAAAAGACAAACGCTTAAATTTTCCCCCCACCCACCGGTTATAAGGGCCAACGTTCACTACCAAAACCCCCCTGGGTTTTAATGGGCCCAAAGTTCAACCCACCACCACCCACCTGGTTTTAAAAACCAACGTTCCCTTTCCACCACCCACTTGGTTATAATGAACCCAAAGTTTACTACCCCCCCACCCACCGGTTAAAATGACCACTGCTCACCACCCCCCACCTGGTTAAAATGACCAACGCTCACCACTACCACCCCAATTTTTTAAATTTACCAAAGTTTACTATCACCACCCCCCCTGGGCATAATGACCAAAAGTCAGTACCACAAAACCCCCTGGTTATAATGACCAACGCTCAGTATTTACCCCCCCTGGTTATAATTACCCAAAGCTTATTTCCCCACCCCCCTGGTTTTAATGACCAACGTTCACTACCCCACCCACCTGGTTTAAATTTACCAACGTTCACTAAACCCCCCACCCGGTAAAAAAGACCAAAAGTTCATTTCCACCACCCACTTGGTTATAATGACCACCGCTCACCCCCCACCACCTGGTTATAATGACCAAAAGCTCCTACCACTCACATTTATTATAAAGACCACCCTTAACTTTCCCCACCCACCTGGGTTTTGACTACCCCAAACCACCACCCCCACCCAAAATGGTTATAAGACCAACGCTCACTTTCCCCACCCACCTGGTTAAAAAAGACCAAAGTCACTACCAAACCCCCTCCACCTGGGTTTTAATGGGCAAACGCCACCAGCACCTCCCACCTGGTTATAAATACAAAACCACTACCACCAGCCATTGGTTTTTAGGGTAATGCAATCCCATCAATTACCAGGTGGTAATTACATTTGCCCCGGGGGTTTTTAAAAAACCCCCCCCCACCACACACCAAAACACAAACCCCCCAAAACCCCACAAACACACCACAACACACACCCCACACACTCCAAAACACCCAAAAACAAACAAAAAACACACACACCCCCTCCCCACCCCCCCCAAAACCAAAAAACCCCCACCCAAACCAAAAACCCCCCACACCACACCACACCCAAACCCAAACACAACACCCCCACCCCCAAAACAAACACCAAAAACAACAACCCCCACCCACCCCCAAAACCCCCACCACAAACACACCCAAAAACCCCCAAAAACAAAAACAAAAACACAACCCCAAAAACACACACAAAAAACCCCAAAACACACACCCACCCCCCCACCCACCCCCCCCCCACCAACCACCCCCCAAAAAAAACACCCACCCAAACACAAAACCCCCACCCACCCCCCCCCCACCCCCCCCCCCCCCCCCACACACCCCACACCCCACCCCCACAAAAACCCCCCCCCCCCACCCCCAAAAAACCCCCCACCACCCCCCCCCCCCCCCCCCCCCCCCCCCACCCACACAAAACCAAAACCCCCCCACAAAAACCCCCCCCCAACCCCCCCAACCCACACCCCCCCACCCACCACCCCCAAAAAACCCCCCCCCCCAACACAACCACCCCCCCCCCCCCCCCCCCCACCCCCCCCAACCACCCCCCCCCCACCCCCAAAACCAAACACAAAACCCACCCACACACACACAAAACACACACACACAAACACAAAAACACACCCCCACACACACACACCCACACAAAAACCACACAAAACCCAAAACCCCAAAACAACCACAAACACAACACAAACAACCCCACACACACAAAAACAAACACAAAAACACCCCAAACCACACACACCAAAACAAACAAAACACAAAACACACACCAAAAAACACCCCACCCCACACACACACCCCCAAAAAACACAAACACAAACACACACACACACACAAACACAAACCCCCACACACACACACACCCCCAAAACACACATTTAAAAACAAACAAAAAACACACACACACACACACACAACACACCACACACAAAACACAACACAACACCACAAACACACAACAAACACACACACAACACACACCAAAACACAACACACACACACAAACACACCACACATACACACAAAACACACCCCACACACCCAAAACACACACACAACAACAAAAACAACACACACAAACACACACAAAACCCCCACACACACAACACACACACAACACACACACACCCCACACCAAAAACACACACAACACAACCCCACACACACAAAAAACAACACAAAACCCCACACACAACCACACACACACACACACACACACACACACAAACAAAACCACAACACACACACAAAACACACAACACACACACAAAACACCACCACCACACCAAAACACACACACACAACACACACAACCCCACACACACACACACACACACACAAACCCACACAACACACACCCCAAACACACACACATACACACAAAAAACACACACAAAACACACACAAAACACACACCACACAACCACACACAACAAAAACACACAACAAACACACAAACACAACAACACTTTAAAACCCCAAGGGGAAAAAAACAAAAAAACCCAAAAAACACACAACCAACAAAAACCCAAAAACAACCCAAAACCCCCAAACCCAAAACAAAAAAAAACAATAAAACCCCAAAAAAATAACACACAATAAAAAAAAAAAAAAAAAAAAACAAAAAAAAAAAAAAAAAAAAAAAAAAAAAAAAAATATTTTTCCCACACCAAAACAAAACAAAATACAAAATAATTAACAAAAAAAAACAAAAAAAACATAAAAACAACCCCTTTAAAGAAATAAAAAAAAATTTAAAATAAAAATTTAAGGATTAAAAAATTTAAAATTTTTCTTACCTTTTTTGATTTTTCCCCCAAAATGGGGGTTTTTGATCCAAGGGGTTGGGGCTTTATTTCCTGGGATTAAACCTGATAACCTTCTATTGGATACAATAGAAAAAATACTAATAATAACAATAATAATAGTAACGCAGCAATTTTAATAAAAAATAATAAATATAATAATAATAATAATAAAATAATAATAATAATAATAATATTATTATAATTATATTATTATTATTAAAATATATTTTTCCCAGTTATTCAATAACAATAATTAATAATAATAGCAATAATAATGGTAACAAAATAATAATAATCTTAATAATAGTAACAATAACAACAACAATAATAATAGTAAACACTAAAAACAATAATAATAATAATTATTATTGTTATTAAAAATTATCATTAAAATATTTTTCTTCCTACTTCTATTTCTCTGATTTTCACTCCAGCAGGTGCGAAACCACGCTCCTCTGATCCAGCAGACGCTGCCACGCCCGCACGCCCACAGCCACGCCCACACCGGCTACATGAACGGTGAGATGAGTGAGTCTGCCGCTTCTTCTGAAGACCTTAACCCTTCTCAGTGCCACGAGATGTATAGAGGTGAGAGAGAGAGAGAGAGAGAGAGAGAGAGAGAGAGAGAGAGAGAGAGAGAGAGAGAGAGAGAGAGGACGTGAGGGATAATGAAAAATGAAAGAAAGAGAGAGAGCGAGGACGTGAGGGTTAATGAAAAATGAAAGAGAGAGAGAGAGAGTCCTAACCTGTAAACAGCTTGTCAATGAAGCTAGGGATCCTTAACCTTGTCAAAAACCTGTGTAAGAAGAGAGAGAGAGAGAGAGAGAGAGAGAGGGGAGAGAGAGAGAGAAGAGAGAGGGAAAAGAGAGAGAAGAGAGAGAGAAGAGAGAGAGATAAAGACAGAGAGACAGAGAAGAGAGGAAGAAAAAAAAAGTGGGTGAAGAGAAACTGTGAATGAGAAGGATAAAATGTGAAAAACAAAATGTGAGTGAGAGAGAAAATGCAAATGAGAAAGAGAATTTAAAGTAGGTGCTTGTGTTTCTGAGTGTTCCCATTCGTATGTGTCCCCGTGTACGCTTGTGTGCGTACAGCATGTCCATGTCCGTGTGCGTGCGTGTGTACACCTAAAACACCAAGGAGAAGTTGTATATGTGTGTGAGAGAACGAAAGTCCGCTTCTAGGCTAAATAAACATGCTATTCCTTTTTGTTATTATTATTATTATTATTATTACTATTATTATTATTATTATTATTATTATTATTATTATTATTATTATTGTTTTATTATTTATTATTATTATTATTTTATTATTATTATTATTATTATTTTATTATTATTATTATTATTATTAAATATTATTATTATTATTATTATTTTTATTGTTTTATTATTATTATTATTATTATTATTATTATTATTAATATTATTATTATTATTATTATTATTATTATTATTATTATTATTATCATTAAGTCATTGTGGAGGTAAGGGAGAGTAGCTCCAAATCCTCGGTTCAAATAAAGGCTGATTAAGTGTAACGAGGCTTCACATGATCCTTGGCTTTGTACTATATTGTGTATTGTTTACGTGAGTTTTCTTCTGTTGAAGGTAAAGAGTAGTGACGAAACGTGAAACATAAATGGGGTGAATAGAATGGAGGGTAGAAAATGGGGGGGATAAAAACCGGGGGGGAAAAGGGAAAAGGGGTTTGATTTGAAAGGGCCCCGGGGTAGGGAAAAGGGGGGAATAGGCAGGTTTTTAATTTTTTTTTGCAGGGAAAGGGTTAAATTTTTTACTTTGATCCCCGTGCCTTTTTTTTTTTTTGGGTACAGGGTCATTGCCAAGCCTGGTGTACCTTCTGCAAAATGCCCTTCTTTCATACTCACCCGCCTCATACACACCCAGTTTTAAAACACGTAGTCCTTTTCTAGACAGAAGTAGACTCAAAGGGCTTTTTTACCAGGAGATAGCCTCGTCGGTTGACCCTTTTTTCCCCTCAAAACATAATTTTGGAGCGGGGCGAGTGGAGGGTGGGTTTTTTCTCCTCAGGGCTGTTGTAACTCATTATTTTGTATTGAAAAAATTTCAGATTCACCTTTCTTTTTTTTGATGTAATTTGCCTTCCCGTTCCCCCTGCGCGAATGAACCCCTTTGGAGGTTTTGCGTTCCCTGTTTTTATAGTAACAATTAAAAAAAAATTTTAAAGGAAATGAAAAGGCACAATACCGTAAAAAGGAACAATATGCAAAAAAACCCGCACACAGGAGAATGAAACTCATCCGTTTAAAAGTTTAAAATATAAATAATAATTTAAAAATAATTTTAAAAATAATAATAATAATAATAATTAAAAATAATAAAAAATAATAATAATAATTTAAAATAATAATAATTTAAAATTTAAATTCAATAATAATAATTTAAAAATAATAAATATAGTTTAAAGTTTTGGACCCCCTTTTAAAGAGTTGGTGGGGTTAGGAAGCCTTCTTTGTTAATTTTTTTGACCCCAACACCTCACTAGCTGCTCCCCATCCTCCATCACACGTCCCTCACCTAGCTTACTCCATCATCCTTAAAATACACGTCCCTTTCCCCCAGCTACTCCCTATTTCCCACTCACCCCGTCCCACCTAGTTCTCCAAACCCTCCTCCATCCCAAAGTCCTTTACCTGGGTACTCCATCATCCTACATCACAAGCCCTCACGTAGCTACTCCCCCCCCAAAAATCCATCACACGTCCCTCACCTAGCTACTCCCTCTCCTCCCTCCACGTCCTTTACCTAGCTACTCCACCATCCTCCATCACACGTCCCTCACTAGCTTTCTCCATATCCTCCATCACACTCCCCCACCTAGCTACCCATCATCCTACATCACACGCCCCACGTTTGCTACTCCACCATCCTCCATCCCCAAAAGTCCTCAACCCAGTACTCCAAAAACCCTTTCCCCCATCCCCACGGCCCCCACCTAGCTACTCCCCCATCCCCCATCAAACGTCCTCACCCAGCTACTCCCCATCCCCCATTCCCCTTTCCCCCACCTAGCTACTCCAAACATCCTAAATTTACACCCCCCCTAAAGTAGCACTCCCCCATCCTCCATCACACGTCCCTCACCTAGCTATTCCCCATTTCCTCACACTCCTCAAAATAGCTATTTCCCCCATCCTCATCACACGTCCCCCACCCAGCTACTCCATCATTTCCCCCATAAAACGACCCCCCCTAGTATCCACCTTTTTCCAAACACACGTTTCCCCACCTAGCCTCCACCATCCCCCCTCACACGTCCCCAACCCAGCTTTCTCCACCCTCCCCCAAACACACCCTCCCCCAAAATTGCTTGGTTTCCCCCTTCCTCCCTCACACGTCCCTCACCCCAGCTACTCCCATCCTCCCTCACACGTCCCCAACCCGCTACTCCACCATCCCCCATCACACGTCCCTCACCTAGGGTACTCCCCCATCCTCCATCACACGGCCCTCACCTAGCTAATCCAAAAAATCCTCCCTCAAAACCCTCCCCCAAAAGCTACTCCACTATCCTATTTACCACCCCTCCTAGCTAGTAAAACCCTCCTCCATCACACGTCCCTCACCTAGTACTCCCCCATCCTCCCTAAAACGTCCCTCACCTAGCTAAATCCCCAATCCTCCATCCCCAAAAGTCCCTCACCTAGCTACTCCCCTATCCTCCATCCTCCCTTCCCTTCATTGCTAGTCCCTTCCTCCAAAAACCCCGTCCTCACCCAGTAGTCCAAACCCTCCTCCATCACAGCCCTACCTGGGTAAACCCCCCATCCTCCCTCCCCACGTCCTCCTAGCTACTCCCCCTCCTCCATCACCGTCCCCCCACCCAGCTACTAAACCCTCCTTAAACACAAGTCCCCACCCAGTACTCCCCATCCTCCTTTACACGCCCTCCCTAGCTACTCCAAACCCTCCTCCCCTCACACGTTTCCCCAACCCCCGCTACTCCCCCATCCCCCACACACGTTTTCTCACCTAGCTACTCCACCCCTCCCATCACACGGGCCCTCAAATAGCTACTCCACCATCCTCCATCCCGTCCCCCCACCCAGTACTCCACAAAACCTCCACACAAAAAGGGCCCTCACCTAGCTACTCCACTTTTTTAAACACACGCCCCCACCTAGCTACTCCACCCTCCTCCATCACACGTCCTCCCCCTGCTACTCCACCCCCCTCCATCACACGTCCTCACCCGCTAAATCCACCATCCCCCACCTAAAGTCCCTCACCAAACTTTCTTTCCCTCATCCTACATCACAGCCCTCACGTTTTTTACTCCACCATCCTCCATCACACGTCCCTCACCCGGGACTCCTTTATCCCACATCACACGGGCCCCCACCCAGCTTCTCCAAACCTCACCATCCAAAAACGTCCCTCACCTAGCTTTCCCACCCTCCTCCACCGTCCTCACCTAGCTAGTCCACCATCCCCATCACACGGGCCCTCACCAGCTACTCCCTTTATCCCCCCATCACACGCCCCCCACCTAAACTACTCCACCATCCCCCCTCACAAAGTCCCCCACCTAGTACTCCCCCCCTCCTCCTACACGTCCCCCACCTAGCTAGTCCACCATCCTCCCTCACACGCCCTCACCCCAGCTACTCCAAACCCCCTCCTCCAAGTCCTCACCTTGCTACTTCCCCCATCCTCCCCTACACGTCCTAACCCAGTACTCCACCATCCTCTCACACGTCCTCACCCCACTACTCCACCCTCCCCATCACACGCCCTTAAACCCAGCCAATCCACTTCCCCACACACGTCCCCACCTAGCTATCCAACCCTCCTCCTTTAAAGTCTCTCACCTAGGGTACTCCCCCCCTCCATCACTCCCTCACCCGCCATTTCCCCCATCCTCCCCCTCACGTTCCCCCACCTAGCTACTCCCCCATCCTCCATCACAGTCCCTCACCCAGCTACTCCACCCCTTCCCCCATCACACGGGCCCCCCCCCCAAGTACCCACCCCTCCAAAAACACGTCCTCACCTAGCTACTCCCCTCCTCCATCCCCCGTCCCTCACCCAGCTACCCCCAAAATCCTCATCACAAAGTTTCACCTAGGGTAAATCCACCCTCCCCCATCACACGTCCCCACCTAGCAAATCCCCCATCCCCCATCACATGCCCTCACCCAGGGTACTCCCCATCCTCCATCACACGTCCTCACCTAGCTAATCCACCCCTCCCCCATTTAAAACGCCCCCCCTTGCTACTCCCCTATCATCCTTTAGACGTTCCCCCCTAGTATCCCCCCATCCCCCAAAAACGTCCCTCCCTAGTACTCCCCATCCTCCCCACCGCCCTCAAATAAATTTCTCCCCATCCCCCTTTACACGTCCTCCTAGTACTCCACCTTCCCCCATCAAAACGGCCCTCACCTAGCTATCACCATCCTCCCTCACACCCCCCTCACCTAGCTTCTCCCCATCCCCCATCAACGTTTCCCCACCTTGCAAAATCCCCATCCTCCCCTCACAGTCCCTCAAACCCCAGCTACTCCACCATCCTCCATCACCCCGCCCTCACCTAGCTATCCACCC